GAAACAACGGCGTGCATTGAGGTGAGTCGCGGGAGATCATGTGGTTCCTTCTTTCTCGACGTCATCAGCCGCTGCAGACTCGTCCTCGTCGACGTAATACCCCCAAGAAGCCATGCCTCGTCATGTCCTATCCCCCTCCACCTCTCTCTCCCTTCCCTCTGTCTTTATCTTCTGAAATTTCCTCCAAGTTCTTCTGCACTTCCGGCACCCCGGCCCGACCAAGCTTCCTCCATGAACCCATCAAATTTATCATGAGTCTCCCACATTTTCTCATAGCAGAACAACCTGGGAATCCAAGCCGAACGCACCATAGGCCAACTCCAATAGGCGACCCCATTTGCTCCGGCCTTGTCCGTTTGGGTTGAAAGTTGAAACAGACAAATGGGATGGCCCAACGCGCCGGATCAAGACCAAATATTGTCCACATCGTGTCCGTCTCGACCCAAATCCAGATCAAATATGGGCCGGATTTGCGTCAAACCGGACAATTAACGGACACACACGCGGCTTCTCGTTGTCGGCCCCAATCATGCATGCCGGGCCCCCAACCACTTCCCACCACCTACATTATGTTGCACGTGTGGGACATGCCCGCCTATCAGCCAGTGAACTGCTACCCAAGCGTCTTTTTTAATGACGAAGTCGTGGACCGTTCGTCCACATCCTCGTCCCCAAGGCATCTTCCTACTTTCACACTCGTCCTCCCCCCTCGAACCCCGACCAACCCTAGACCACATCGCAGGGAGTCCATGGCCAAGACAGGGAAGCACGACAGTGAGGCATCATCTTCTACAGGCCCATGCGTCGCAGCAGGCTTCTACTGGGATACCTCCACGCCGCTGTCGTGGTCGGACGCCCACCTGCCGACCGGAGGGCACATGAGCCCAGATCGGGTGCCAGTGTCGGCCATTCCGGCTACCGGCCGCATGCGGCTCCTCGAGATCAATCACCGCTGTGCCTTGTTGCCACCGAATCTCGTCGATGATCCCAGGTACACCGGCACATCCTCAATTTGGGTCACTTTGGTTCTCGGATGAGCACGACGTGCGCCACCAGACCTTTGTTGCCCTCCATGCAGTCACGTTCTAGGGCACCATGTCCTCCAAGCCCTCGTCG